TGACTGTTTCAAGAAAACAAGTATGGTTAAAATATTAAACATTAAGTCTTTAAAATAAACTATTAAAAGTGCTGATAATCTTCTGATCTGATAGTCTTTGATTTTAAGTGTTCTATTGGCATCTTTTAGGTTGTATTTCTGCTTTAATGCGCTTTTTAAATAAATCAATAAAAAACAAAGCAGCTGTTTGCCATCGTGACAGCTATAAGACCCAATGGATGGCTAATCACTTTCACTCTAGAATGGCGAAATCGCTGGGCGCTGCTGTTGCAATGGAATGTTCTATTGAGTGTCGCTTTTTGGTGATTCTATGCTCGTTGACGTTAGTAAGCAGTTCATAAAAACATCTACAAATGCTGTATTATGATCTTTAAAAAACTATCCAACTATTCTTAAATAACTGGTTTGGACTGTAAATAATACAATACTTGATTTATTCAGTTATTTGTTCATTTTCCTTTAGTCTCTATTTCAGAGGTCGCCACAGCGGAATGAACCACCATCTATTTCAACATATGTTTTATGCAGCAGATGCCCTTCCAGCTGCAACCAAGTATTGGGAAACACCCATGGACACTCATTCATTCACACACACACACACACACACACACACACACACACACACACACACACACACACACACACACACACACACACTCATACTCTATAACCTTTCAAGCTTAATTCACTTATAGCGTAAATCTTTGGACTGTGGGGGAAACCAGAGCACATGGATAAAACCCACGCAAACACAGAGAGAACACGCAAATTCCACACAGAAACTAACTGCTCATCTCCATATGAACTGGTTTTCCGCTTTTACCAAAGCAGAGTTGACCATGACAATGGGATTTAAGTCCAGTGAAGAACGATTCCAGAAAGCACGACAAAACAAAAGCCAAAAAATAAAATAATTAAGTAAATATCAGTGTGAAAATGTGGTAAAATCTGAAAACAGTAAAAATTGGAGGGCTTTTCTTTTTCTGGATTTCTTTTTAAAATACTGAGGTTGGGTTTAGCTAAGGGGGTGGGTGGATCAATTGGTGCTTCTTTAAACACTATTGGTTGGTTTTAGTGAAGGGGGGTGGATCAGTCAGTAAGTCAATCAGTCGACAGCAGCCTCTGGTGGATTTACATGAGAACAGCAGGCACAAATGGCACTCGAGAGAGAAATTTGATCTCTAAAATCATACACAGCAGCCTCTGGTGACTTAGCAAAAACTGCAGAAACGTGGAATGTAAATTGTAGCTCCTAGGATGTGATTTGCTCTCTTCAGAAATGTATATAGGGGTACGTAATCAGACTGATCCTGGGTTGGAGGCAACAGTGCTAACCACTGAGCCACCGTGCCACCCATACTTAATTTAGTAATGAAAAATGGATTATTAACAAAGCATGAAAAGCAATTAAACATGTGCTTTTATGTCAGGAATAAAGCATTTGTTACTGTATTTACAAACTTTCATGAACTGCTTAATGTAACATTTATATATTGCTTACTAACATCTATTAATATAAAGTTAATGCTTAACATATAACTATCAACTATTTGTTAATGCTTCATAAAAGATTCATAGTTTGTAGCTATTATGAAGTGTTACCACATTTTATAGTTAGTATTAGCGAATGATTAAACTGGCTGTTTGAACTGAACTGTATTAAAATATCTTATCGCTCTCATAACCACAAGTTGTGATGATGAATATATGTGAATCTGGTCCCCTGGCATGTAATCATCAGAAATATATCGCAACTTTTTCGTTTATTTGTTTGTTTGTTTATATGAGCAATAAAATATGTAATATGTTTAAAAGATTCAACATCCTGTCCATATTCAGTGTTTCTAAAGATTTACCTCAGCACACATGCCTTAATGGCCTTGCACAACATGCATCATTGTACTGTACTTATGCTTTTTAAAAGTACTGTGGAAAGAGAGGTCTGCTTCTTCCCTCACAAATGCACCAAGCACACAATTATCTCAGCTGTTTGTCCTCCTGCCAATTCAACAGGCTTCATATTGCCATGTATTGCTCCATTGATACGTTTCACTCTCTTTTGCCCTCCTTTTCATTCTTTCCCTCTTCCTGTCTGTTTCTCGATGGTGCTGAGTGTGTTGTCATGGTGATATCCATCTGTCCACGGTGTGAGTGTGTGATGTCTTATTGATGAGACAGTGTGACTGTGTGCCAGAGACATCCATCCTGCCTGCTAAACAGCACACACACACGGGCACACACACACACGGGCACACACACACACACACACACACACACACACACACACACACACACAAACACACACACACACACACACACACACACACACACACAAACACACACACACACATATAGTTTTTGGTGGTCATGCTGAACAACTCACACCTGTCACCTCTGTTGGACAGAGGACACACACACATGCTCAGACTGCTTGTTGCTTAAGGCAAGACACTGCAGGTGAATGGTAAAAAAGTAGTTAAAAAATACAAATAGTTATCACTACTTCCCTGGTTTATTAGTTACATAATATACTGTGTGATATAAAATGTACAATTTTTATTTTCCTAGCACACATTAATATTTTTTAGGTAAACAATTAATTGGTCCAAGTAAATTCACAGAATAAAAATGTTTGTTTCGGTAATCTTTAATCAAAATTAGACAATTTAATTTGATGTCTGGGGTCGCAGCCCTTCTCCGTTGACGTCAATTTGCCGGGTTCAGCCACAACATTCTTAACCCAGCCCCCTTACTGTTATAATGCCATGAGGGCATGACGTGCAGCAAGAAAGCCCCACCCCTACTCAATATTATATTTCAGTGGGGTATAGGCTGGTCAGCCAGCCTCAGGGCTTCCGCTTAATGTCATCCCATACAAAATCACAGCGCCAAAGGTCTGATTTCCTTAAAAAACAGCGATCTTCACTGTCTGGCTAAGATACGATAAAACGTGGGTATCAGACCAAACAAGAAGCACTGCATTGGACTATATTTTTTAGCTTCATGTCTTTTAAAATAAGGAAATTTATTTCAACTCAGTATTTTCAATGGAATTTCTGCATTGGCCTGCGACTAATGACGGCGCCTGCGTTTAAACGTTTTTTCGTCTCTTCTTGCGCTTTAGCTAAATGAATGCTTAAGTATATATAACTGGTTATATTTGAATTACATTACAGCATCGATTCTGTAAAAGTAGCCGTATGAAATTGAAAATAGTCACATAAAGCTTTCACCGGAAGTTCACCGGAAGTTTATCATTGGCTGGAAAACACTAGCTGTGCATATAGCTTGTTGTAAGTGCATCAACATACTGAAATAAAAATCTCAGCAATGTCTGACAAGAATGGCTAAATGATTTTAGTGATTGTTTTCTAAAATGTTATGTTTAAATTAAAGCCAAAGCCATATCATCCTGCAGCACAAGACCGGTTACTCATTAAAGCTTGTCAGGGCTGAGCCTGGTTAGTACCTGCATGGGAGACCACAAGAGAAAAGTTACTCAATCTGTGGTCTGTCTGAGTCATGCCACATTGAAGTGAAGGGGACACTATATTATCAGTGAGAACCGTCTTTCGGATGAAACGTTAAACCAAGGACTTGACTCACTGTGGTCATTAAAAATTCCATGTAACCTAAATTCCTTCCATCAGCTTTTACCTATCATGGCCTTCCAATTATCCCCAACCAATGAATTGGCTGTATTACTGTCTATCCACTCCTTCTATAGCTGGTGTGTGGTGAGCACACTAGCCCCGTTGTCCTGTGGCTGCCGTCGCATCATCCAAGTAGATGCTGCACACTGGTGATGGAGTGGGGAGACCCCCCTCATGATTGTGAAGCGGTTTAGGTGTATGGCTATACAAAATATATGCGCTATATAATACACAAAGACCCCTTTCACATTTACGAGTTTCTCAGTAGCAGAAGGCATTCATCAAACTTAGAGTGCACTGAACTGGAGAGTATAATAAAATTTTTTTTTTCAATCCTTTTTGCTGAAATAAAAAAAAAAAAACTTCTTGATAGGGTTATCAAGACTTTCAGAAGAAGGAAAAAAATGTGTGATGACGGCAGCCAAAGGAGAGAATAAAATCAAATTTACTGTCCTGCCCCATAAACGCTGCATTAGAAACACCTCGCCTAAGTGGTAATGATATAACAGATGATATAATACATACATAAAAACATTTAAATGTTCATACATTTAAAAAAAAGATCTACTGTAAATATTAAAAACTTTCAAGGATTTAAAAATATGATGACGGGTAAACGTGTGTAACAGTCTTGTGAAAATTGTCAATTACTTACTTTTTACTTGTATATGCTGTAGGATAATTCTATGTGAACATGAATCTGTCAAGTTTAGTGTATGTAATTGGAAATTTCTGACTAAACAAAACTCATTTTGAAGAAAAAATCTTTCTTTTTATCAGACTAATGAAGTTTTAATAAAAATCTAAAAAGCCTAAAATTTCAAAGTTGACAGGTGCAGATGATAAAATGTGTTTTTGCCTGCAGTGTCTTGCCTTAATATGCTAGACAGCTCACACCTACACGAGCCGAAGGACACACACACACATACAAGCATACCCACACACAAGCTCAGAGATTGATTAATTTGAATTAAACATTTGGTGGTGTTCTTGGAAAGGTCTTCATTGTCACTCACGCTGGCTGCAGTGATGTGTATTGTCCTCTGGTGAGCCTCTGCTTCTGTTTTACCTTGATATTCATTAGCCTTTTCGTGGAGATGTGCGGACTTGATTTAATTATTAGTCGCTCCATCATTTCGCATCCTTGTGTTTGAGAGTTTTTGTGTCACCGTGTTCAGTAAAAGTCAGTTAACTTGATCTTGGTGTTACATTACTGTACTCTTGAAGTGGCATCCAGATTGTAGTTGACTTGAATTAGTTGTTTGGTTTGTGTTTTCATGCATGGTCACCTGTTGCGTGTAGTGATCGCTCTGTCACGACTAACCCTTTTGCCTTGCCCCCTCACAGTGCATCTATTGTCAGAGACGCTGCAGTGTGTGACGGCCACAGCCACGGGGATCCAGTACCAGCAGTCCTGGCTTTGCATCCTGTAAGTGTCCTTCCATACAAGTGTTCTCATATGCAGTGCAGAGCCTTGAGAGTTTCTAGAGCAGGGGTGTCTGCAGAAATGTTGACAGTGATTACAATATTATAATAATAATAATAATTATTATTATTATTATTATTATTATTATTATCATTATCATTATCATTATTATTATTATTATTATTATTATTATTATTATTATTATTATTATTATTATTATTATTATTATTGTTAATAAAAGTCTGGTAAAAACATCAAAGTTTATTAATTAGTTTTAAAATATTTTTAATTTTTAATTTAAAGATAATTTAAAGACATTTAAACAAAGCAATTATATTCCAAGTGTTTGTTGTTTTTGTTTGTTTGTTTGTTTGTTGTCAACTCTTATGGTTGCAACACAGGCTCATTGTAAGTACGTACCCTTGTATACACTTCTGCTACGTATGGCTGCATTTTGTCTTTAAAAAGAACGCTACGAGGCGGTGTGATGCTGCCGACTTCTGCGGTTTCTTTTTGTGCTACCAACTGACGCTTACCTCCATGTTAACGGCCGTTACATTGTTACCAGTTTACCCAGTAGCTTGCCATGTACTTTGGAGAACTTGAGATGCAAAGAGAAGTTGATCGCGACGACGGGTTCAAGTCCGGTGAAGAAAAAAAAAAGCAGATAAAACAAAATTTAAAACATAAATAAACAACTAAATAACAGGGCATGATACGATACGAAAATGTGGTATAAATCATGTGGCCACGAGGGCTTTTCTTTTTCTAGATTGCCTTTAAAAACACTGTCGGTTGGGTTTAGGAAAAGCGGTGGTCAGGTCAATCTGTGGTTTTGAAAAGACTATTGGTTAGGTTTAGGGAAGGGGGTGGGTGGACGGATCGGTCGGTCAGTCAGTCGACACCTCTGGTGGATTCACAGGAGAACAGTAGGTGTGAATGGCACTCGCGAGACAAGTTTTATATCTTAAAAGTTTACACAGTGTCCTCTGGTGGATTTACAAAAAAAAAAAAAAACACTACAGAAAAACGAACCTCCTGGGATGTATTTCACAATCTCCAGAAATGTATACAGGGGTATGTATCAATAATAAGCCTGGGTTACTATTATTGATCGATATATGCTGAAAATTGCATCATGGTTACCATAAAAATATGAATCAAAAGAACATAGTTTCAAACCATTTGTTGGGCAAAGAATCCTTTATGATAACTTCAGTGACATTGATAACATATATATACATATACGCATATCTTTTTTAAATCATGAAAGGTTAAAAGTCTTGTAATAACCCGAGTGCCACTCCAGGGTTTTTCCAATAAGTGATTCAATGAGTGCTCTATAAAGGGTTAAACTAATTCTGTGCAACTTGTTGATTCATAGAGATATTACTAAAGGTTATTTGCTCATAATAATAATAAAAAAACTTAAGTAAACTCAATTGCACAAATGATATGATTAGTCTATTAGTGCAGTTCAGTTAAAATGAGTGTAAACACTGGCATACAGGACCTCAGTGCTGACCAAATAAGTTGTACACAAAAAAAGATGTTTTAATCAGTCACCCTCTTTTAACTGACGAATCTATATATAGTTGTCATATCTATTCGTTTTATCAAATTCCTCTCTGTGCCACCACACAGGGTATATTCTGTTTTGCAACAGACAAAGTAAATGAAAAAAATATAGAGCTAGGTGTCAAGTCTAACTTCAGCAGGTAGCCAGAAAGATGAGAGATGCTTTGAATGTTTGTACATGTAGCTAGTGAACTCTATCCATAAAAAAGACCAATAAATGGACTCTTCTGAGGTCAGTGGCCAGTCCACATGTACAAAGTGCTCAGAACAAGTAGCTGTGTCAAAAGTACAACTTCAGATGATACTTCTAGACACCTCAATACAGAAGAGGTGAAGGACTGTAGAAAAAACAGTCAAGGGTGAGTCATTTCAAAAGAGGCTCTCAGAAAAAGCAAGTTTGTTATTATCGCTATTGAAATTCCTTGCCAGGAATGAAAAGTCCTCAAACAACGAATCATCAATTAAAATATTGAATTTGGAATTATAATGTGCTGCTAAAGCAGTGCCAACTATAACAAGTTTGTTGAGGTGTCAGGCAGGCATGGTTCATTTGAAACTAGACGAATACTGTAGATATGCATTGGACCCTGTTCCCAACTCTGATATATGGCAATTACATACAGTTGAAGTCAGAATTATTAGCCCCTCTTTGATTTTTATATTCTTTTTTAAAATACTTCCCAAATGATGTTTAACATAGCAAGGACATTTTCACAGTATGTCTGATAATATTTTTTCTTCTGAAAAAAATCTTATTTGTTTTATTTCAGCTAGAATAAAAGCAGTTTTTAATTTTTAAAAGCCATTTTAAGGTTAAAATTATTAGCCCCTTTAAGCTATATTTTTCCCTGATAGTCTACTGAATCAACCATCGTTATACAATAACTTGCCTAATTACCCTAACCTGCATAGTTACCCTAATTAACCTAGTTAAGTTTTTAGATGTAGCTCTAAGCTGTATAGAAGAGTCTTGAAAAATATCTAGTAAAATATTATGTATTGTCATTATGGCAAAGATAAAATAAATCAGTTATTGGAAATGAGTTATTAAAACTATTATGTTTAGAAATGTGTTGAAAAAATCTTCACTCAGTTAAACAGACATTGGGGAAAAAATAAACAGGGGTGCTAATAATTCAGGGGGGCTAATAATTCTGAATTCAACTGTATATGACATATAAATTCATTTTTTGGATTTTAGTATTTTTTCAGTCATTGGAATTACAAGTATGTGCAAAAATGTTCAAATATGTTAACTTTAATTTGATATATTTTGTACGTGTTTTATATGAACTTAATTATATCTACTGCATTTAAACAAAGGTTGAACAAATATGCCAAAATCTTTATATATTTTTTGCATATCTAATTTCATATACATGAAATCGAAATATGAACTTGCATGCATATGTAATTTGCATATACAATTGAAGTCAGAATTATTAGCCTCCCTGTTTATTTTTCCCCAATTTCTGTTTAATACATTATATACATTATACATACATTATAGTTTTAATAACTCATTTCTAAAAACTGATTAATTTTTTGCCATGGTGACTGTAAATAATATTTGACTAGACATTTTTCAAGACACTTCTATACAGCTTAAAGTGACATTTAAAGGCTTAACTAGGTTAATTATGCTATCTAGGCAGGTTAGGGTAATTTGACAAGCTATTGTATAATGATGGTTTGTTCTGTAGACTATCAAAACCAAAATAGCGTAAAGGGGCTAAAAATTTTGACCTTAAAATGATTCTTAAAAAATTCAAAACAGATTTTTATTCTACTCGAAATAAAACAAATAAGACTTTCTCCAGAAGAAAAAAATATGATCAGACATGCTTCCTTGCACTGTTAAACATCATTTGGGAAATATTTAAAAAAGAAAAAAAATTGAAAGAGGGGCAAATAATTCTGACTTCAACTTTATATCCATATATCTATGCAGGTATTTTTTTTAATTCTTTCTGACCTTGACTTTAGTTATGATCTAAATATGCTATTTGTTCACCCCAAAAATGTATTAGCTGGTCTCCTTGACACTTACATACTTAAAGTGTGAATTTGACTTCTACATCAAATGATCGGCATAACCTGCGACATGTGCCTTGCACATAGCCGAGACTTCTGTGAACTCTCTTTGTGTTGCTGTGACAAAAACACAACTGAAACACTAGCCATCAGTGGGGGTTCTTTATTTTTTAACTATTAAAACCGTATCAAAACATTCAACTTAAAATTCGTATAGATTTGTATGTCCTCTGATGAAACGCTGCCGGATCAGTTTGATCATGTGCTGTATAATAATGTGCCTGAGGCTGATGAGGAGGCGGATGGCCTTGGGGAAGAAGTCGCTATAATGGCAAGAGGTTTTTATGTTCTTGTACTTGCATGTCTGGCTGATTAAAGACAGGTTAGAGGGTCATGCCCAGGATGTGATGAGGATCTCTTCGCTGGCTCTGTGAAAACTGGTTGGTGTTTCTAGTTCTAGTAGTGGGAGGAAGGATTTGCATTAACATACACTTTACTACTACTACTCAGAGTTGCATCCATTTAATCAAGATAAAGTAAAAATCAGTAAGAAATGAATTTGTGATTATATGAAACATGCTAATTATACGTGGTAGAATATGTCTTAAAATGCAATATATTCCTGTAATGGCTAAGCTGAATTTTCGGCATCATTAATCCAGTCTTCAGTGTCACGTTATACTTCAGAAATCATTCTAATATGGTGATTTGCTGTGAATATTTGCTGTTAATTTACTCGCCTCAGGCAATTAAAGATGTAGATAATTTTTTTTTCCCTACAGTAGAGCATTTAAGACGATTATTAACTGAATATGTGGTGCCCTGTGGTTCATAAAAAGCAAGTCAATGGCTACAAAAACATATACAGGCAAAACATAGATTAAAAAAAGGATACATATTGCCTATATGTATCATATATTGTATATACTCAGATTACTGCTGTTAATATAATAACACATAACTTTTCTTCTTTGGAAGTATAATTATTGTGAAAGCTTTACAAGTAAACATACATTGAACTGAGCTGTGGCAAAAACAATCATTCTGTGCACAAAACTGGATATTACTTATAAAATGTGCAATTTAGGGTTAGCACTGTCGCCGTACAGCAAGTAAGTTGTTGGTTTAAGTCCCGGCTTTCTGTGTGGAGTTTGCATGTTCCTCCCGTTTACGTGGATTTCCTCCGGGTGCTCCGGTTTTCCCCACAGTTCAAGCACATGCAGTGTAAGTGAATTTAATTTACAAATTTGGCAGTAATGTATGAGTGTGTGTGAATGAGTGTGTATAGGTTTTTCCCAGTACTGGGTTGTGGCAGGAAGGGTATCCGCTGCATAAAACATATGCTGGAATAGTTGGTGGTTTATTCGCTGTGTCGACCCCTGACAAATAAG